CATTTTGTGCCCTGGGTTAAATACGAGCAACTCGCTTAAAAGGCCGCCCAGCAGCGGGGAAAGAAGCAGTGGCAGTATGAAGTCCTTACTATCATGCTCGATCAAACCAGTGAGCCAGCCACTAGTCATTGTTGCCTGCATAACAAGTGTAGAGAGAAGTAGCTTGAGTTGTGTTAACTATTTCTTACAATTTTTAGCTATGGAAACAACAAAAAAATCAAGATTGAAAGTAGTAAAACCACTTAGGTAGGCAGCAACAACAAGGTAGTAAAACCACAACTTCCTTTAGCAGGCAGCAACAACAAGAACACATCAACAATCACTCTTCCCAGATCTCACCAAGATCACCCCAATATCACAAGCTTACGGTCTTTGGCCTGGGATTGAGCTGGTTCTTCGACTAGGGCTCCTTCGTGGATCTCATCCTCACGACAATCCTTGGAGATTCGGGCAGTTGGAGATTACGGCTTCGCTGCCATCAAGTACGTGCTCGGGGCCAAGATCACGGCTATGGCGGAAGGGTGGCAGCCCATCGTACGCTGTACGGTGCCTAAGCCGAATGCCAGCTACAGGATAAATATGATCCTGAGTGCAGTGTATGCGGGGAGGGGACGAGAACAAAAGCGCTGCTGCCGTGCAACCATCTCATGTGTGAGGAGTGCGCGGTGCAAATATCGACCATCCAGATGAAGTGCCCGATTTGCAGCCAGTGGATCAAGTCGTGTCCGGAAGACACGGGGGAGGCATACAAACCCGTGATGAAGGAAGAGGAGGAGGAGGAGGGGCGAAGGCAAGGAAGAAAAGCCCGTGGGATTATATCTCGTGGAAACCTTGTAATTAAGATTATCCGCATTACTTTGTGGATGGTGAAACTATCTTAAACGAAGTTGGTAGGACCGATATATTGCATGGACCAGATAACTGTATGGAAAACGTGCACCGAATAGAACAAAAAAGATTTCTCTCCCAAGTATATGGCTACGTGTATGGTACAAAATACGGATCACACGGAAATAAAAAAACGTGGCTGATAGCTCGGATAGTATAAAAGACCCTTCTCCAGCCTCTGTTTCCTCAACCCACAGAGGAGTAGAAAACAAAAGCAGCCATTCTCCAATCAAGTTGATCAGATCGATCAATTTCAACATGGCTGCAATCGCGTTGATGATTGCGTTTCTCGTGGTGGCTGCAGCATGGAAGATGGTGTGTATCCGCAAGAGAGAAGAGAGGGCACGATTTCTAGCGTCGCTCCACCCCGTGAGAGACGCACACAAGATCCTGTGGTACATGTACTCGGTGGAATTCCCCTTCCTCTCGCAAAAGGCGCTCGAGTTTGGCACAATCCGCACGCTGGGCATCCCGGGGATCACAAATCTGCTCTTCAAGACCAAGTACGGCCTCAAGGATCCGCAGAAGCGCGCCGCCGAAACCAACATTCTGGTGAGCGAGATGATCCACCACCACGTCGACAGCGATCGCGGCTCGTACGCGGTGAGGAGATTGAATGGAATCCACAACAAATTCAAGATCCCAAACGACCAATTCGCCTACGTCCTCTGCCTCAACGTGGTCAGCCCCATTGATTTCTCCGAGAGATTTGGATTCCGCAAGTGGACCGACAGCGAGAAGGAGGCCGCGTATGTTGTGTGGCACGACGTGGGCGTGAGGATGGGCATCACAACCATCCCAGATAGCATTCCAGAGATGCGGGAGTACATTCGCGATTACGAGGCCAAGAACGCCATCTTCACGGACAAGAACAAGAGCATCGTCCAGGATCTCAAGCATCTGGTGCTGGATGCATTTCCTCACCCCGTGCAGCCGCTGGTCGAGACTGGGATCTGTGCACTCATCGATCCCACAATCAGGAGCGCTGTTGGATTGGAAAGGCCTCCAGCAATTGTGGAGTGGATCATCTTGGGTGCGTTCAAGCTGCTGGCCGGGAGCTTCGTGTCCGCGTTCTTGCCTCCCAGACGTGTGGAGGATGCAAAGGGCAGCATTGAGGTGGACTGGTGTCCCAATCCCGCTGCCAATCCGGAAGAGTACCGGCAGCTCAACGTGAATGTGTATCGCCCACCAGCATTCGAGAAGGGATACAAGCTGGCGGAGCTGGGAGCGCTGAAATCAGGCAAACTTGGACCATACTACGATGGAGGCTTGCGCTGCCCCTTCCGGCAAATGCACGCATAGGAATAGGACGGGCATAGGACATTCGGTTGGAGAACAGAGCATCATTTAAAAATGCGTAGTTTACATGAATGTTTTTGTAATTTTAGCGGAAAGGTGGCTAACAAAACCAGATATTCGAAACAAAATTTAGTTTTATCCAAATGGGGAAAAAGAATATCATACACAAAGAGAAACACACTTCTTTCTTTCAAGTGGCCATGATGACCTCCCGGAGGCGGTCGACGAGCTCCGGATTGATCTGAAACGCCTTCTCAAGCACAGCATCGGTGATGGCGGGATTGGACGCAAACACGGCCTTGGCAACTGCGGTGACACCTGCGTTCTGGGAGTTGAATCCCGCGAGAGCCACGGCGGGGGTCTCGCCGACATTGAGCTGGAAGTGCACAAGGCCCCGAGGGAACACGAAGAGGTCACCCGGATGCAAGGTCTGCGCGAAGAGCGTGTTGTTGGTGGTGCTCACGAATCCCGCGTAGAGAGTCCTCTGCTGAACGTAGAGGATCTCAGTGCCCCGGGGATGGACGTGCGGTGCATTGACACCGAATGGAGCGTAGTCGGCCCTTGCGAAGGAGACTCCGAGGGTGTTGAGCCCCGGGAAGGAGATCACGTTTGCGGCGGTGACGGCGGAGCCAAGCTTGTTGTTGGTGTTCCCGGATTTCTGGAGGCCCGAGAACTTGAAGTCGGCAGCGGCGGTGGCGGCAGCGGGCTTGCAGGTGAAGCCGTTGATGATGGGGGCAGTGGCGCTGGTGTCGCGCACGCAAAAGTCTTGGAGTGCGTCCGGGTCGGCGAGTGAGAATGCAGCAGAGATGGTGACGAGGATCGCGAGGAGAATTGCACGGGAACTAGACATGGAGATGATCTTGTTTTGAAAACTCGCTTCGCTTTGCTTTCTTGGTGATAGAAACCAGGAGATTTAGCAGATCGATGTTGTTCTTTCTTGAGAAGCTCCTTGTTGCTCCTGAGAGATGAAATGTTGCCCTGAAATGTTTGGTGGCTTGGGATGAGATGCTTGGTAGGATCTCAAAGCTATGATCGTTTATATAGTTGCAGAAAAACACTGACTTTGTCAAACTGATGTTTCCGAGGATGACCAAATCCAGTGTGTAGGGAGTCGCAAAACAACGCGTATATCAAACTATTCCTATGCCTAGTGCCGGCCCGCCTTTGTGCAGTTGATTTCCACCAGGGTCGGTAGCACCATATTAGAGAAGCATTTTCTTGAATTTTAAAGAAATAAATAAGAAACACAACTTTGATCAAGAACTTTCCTCTGGAAGAGTAAGAGCTGTGGAGGAGGATTGTCAGGAATCAGTGAAGTGTGAAGGGCCCTCCTTCGCAGTGAAGCATTGGACCTCTGCGTACTCTCAAGCAATGCTTCCTGTTCAGCTATAAAGAAAGAAACTATGGCAGCATGACAAGCTGCAAACCAAGCATCAACGGCTTCCGCTTTTGAGTCCTGGTAAGGTCGACGCGCCATTTCTTTAGAGATGCAAATAACAAATGCATCTTTACAGAAGTAAAAATACACAAGAAAAGCTTAGCTTTTCTTATCGTACGCCGCCTGCTGAGAAGCTCGCGCCTCTTTCAATGATTTCATCAGTGCGGCTCGACGCTGCCGAGATCGTGATCCTCTTTGCCTGGATCCAAAACACAAAGCGACTCAGCCTAAGAAAAAGGAGAAGAAAGAAAAAAAAAAATTCACCTGAAGAGCACGGCACCGGCTGTGAGAACGAGGCCTGCGACCGCCCAGAGAACCTTGTCCGTCATCAGGAACGCGCGATCAAACTTCTTGCTCGGGCTTTCCGGACTCGGCGTTCTGCCTTGCTTCTTCTGCTTCTTCGTTTTCTGATCTTTGCTTGATGGACTCGTCTTCTCCAGTGATTCCCCTGGCGTTCCATCGTAGCAAAACTCTCCGCTTGCGCGTTCCACCACTCGGAAGCCGGCTAACTCGCAGAAGTGGCTACTGTTCCTTGTCCACTCCGTTCCTTGCGCGCAGATAATCTCGGACGAGCCGCAAGGTAGCAGAGCCTGTATGAATCGAAAGATATCAGTCCTTCCTCTACAATGCGAGAAGATAGGAAGCAACCAAAAACCAACACCAAAGCCAAAACCAAAGAAAAAACCAAAGCTCGAGAAGAATGAGGTGACGAAGACTCTGACGAAGAGAAAAACTTAACAAAAGCAGGAAGCAAGATGATCGGAAGAAGAGAAAACAAAGAAAAAAAGCTCGAGAAGAACTAAGATGGTGTTAAAGGAAGAAAGAAAGGAAAGAAAAAAGCTTACTTGCTTGGGTTGATCCATGGCGAAGAATGCCGAGGAGCAAGACGAGAATACCACATTGCAAAAATCCTGGCAGATCGCTGGAGGCCCCGCCGAAGTTCCAACCCGAGGATGACACACGGAGCACTCGAGAACTTCCCACACGGACTGGCACACCTCATCGCCCTCTCCATTCACGGCCAGATTTCTCAGTGCTAGCAGCGCGTGTTGCGTCTGGATCCCTGTGCAGCACGTCCTGCCGCTGAAGATCCTACACAGCTTCAGCGCGTCTGTGCCGCGGGGCGATTTGCGAGGAGCCCACCCCTCCAGGGAGAATTTCGGGAATCGATTGCCTTGCGAGACGCATACCTCTCCTGCCCGAAGAATGCGATCACATCAATCCAATTGGAGAGAGGGCTAGTCTCACCGGTTGTGGACGCGATCGTCGCCAGCGTCGCCCATAGCGCCAGTAGCAGCATCGACCTAACCCTAGAAAAACAGAGCAGCTAAAACCCCCGCGTAGAGAAATGGGGATTAGGGTTCTTGGGCAATGGCGCACGATTCCAGGGTGAGCCGCGATGCGCTTGCCCCTGCCCATCTCAAGAGCGCCCGCGATCTGTTCTTTCCTGCGAGATTTCTCCACTGCGCTAAGGAATGCGGCCGTGGAGCAAGGGCATTTCCACGAAAGGAAGAACAAGGTAGAGTTTCTTCTTATTTCGCAGTCTATTTCATTTCTTTCTTTGTACCACAGTCGACTTCCATCTGCGAGAAGCGATGCGAAAATCTCGAGTCAAAGAAATTTAGCGATCCATCTCTTCCCAAATCATCTTCCCGGAAGAAGATCAACAACAGAGAAGCTCGACAAGCTTACCAAGAAACGCTCGACTCCGGCACCACTCCGCCTCTCGCCACCTCCATCGCCGCTCTCAAAGCCTGCCGCTCCATCCGGGATCTAGATCGAGGCTCGAGAATCCACGCCGAGCTAGTCCATCTCCACGGCGATGGGAGAAACCTCCACACCGGCATATGGAACGCTCTGGTGGAAATGTACGCGAAGTGTGGCAGCATCGCCACAGCCCGCCAGCTCTTCGAGACAATGCCGGTGGAGCGAGGCTTGGATTCCTGGAACGCGCTCATCGAGGGATACGCTCACACTGGCAAAGGAGTCATGGCCTTGGAGATCTTCCACCGGATGGAGAAAGAAAACGATCGTCACATCAGACCAGATGCTAGGAGTTTCATCGCTGCGATCACTGCTTGCTCGAGCATGGCCACCAGTGAAGATCATGGGAAGATGGCGAGCCTGGAGAGAGGGAGAGCTCTCCACGCAAAGCTCTCCAGTTTGAATCTCGAGAGAGATCCATCCGTGGCGAGCGCGCTGGTGGAGATGTATTCCAAGTGTGGAAGCATGGCTGATGCAAGGAAAGTCTTCCTGGGCGATCGTCGCAACGCGCTGGCGTGGACGGCACTGATCCTGGGCTACGTCCAATCCGGCGAGGTGGCTGCGGCGGTTGAGTTCTTTGATCGGATGAGACGGCACGGGCTCGCGATCAATCGCCGGGCGAGCGTGGCGGCTATCGGAGATTGCGCCATCGCTGCTGCCAAGGAGAAGAAGATCCCATCGAGGGCGGTGTTCTTGGATCGAGGACGGGTGATCTATGGCTTCCTCGCGGCGACCGGCGACGATCTGGATGGATTCGCGGCCACTGCGATGGTGGACCTGTGCGCCAAGTGTGGGAGAATGGACGAGGCGAGCACAATCTTTGAGAGGATCGATCGCAAGAGTGTGGCGGCGTGGACGACGATGGTGATGGGGTATGCGCAGTGCGACGATGGCCAACGAGCTCTTGCGGCATTTGCGAGGATGAGGAGCGAGCTTTCGGCGATCGATGCGCGGGCTTACGTCGCGGGGATCAAGGCTTCCATCGCCGCGGGATCCAGTGAGGAAGGGAAGAGATCGATGAATGGGACAGTGGTGAAGGCCGCGAGCGTGGAGAGGATCGCAGCGATCCACACGCAGCTCGCCAGGGATGGATTCGAGACCAATCTCTTCGTCGCCAGCGCGCTCATCGAGGGCTACTCGCGAGCTGGATCGGTGGCGGAGGCGAGAGGGGTGTTCGATAGGCTGCCCCGGCGGGATCTCGTGGCGTGGAACGCGATGATCGCTGGCTACGCCCACGCCGGCGATGGCGAGATCGCGCTGGAGCTCTTCCACCGCTTGGTCCAGCAGGAAAGAATGGAGGCCAGCGCGCAGAGCTTCATCGCAGCACTCAAGGCGTGCGCCAGCCTCGCAGATCTGGCGACCGGGAAGAAGATCCACGCGATGATCCGTGCCGGGCGGCTCAAGAACAGCACGGTGGTGGCGAATTCCCTCATTGGTTTCTATGGAAGGTGTGGAGAGATGGAAGAAGCTCACAGGATCTTCGACGCCATTGCCAGTGGTGAGAGAGACTCCGTGACTTACAACGCGCTCATCGCCGGATACAGCCACCAGGGATCGCGCGAGGATCGCGTCTTCGAGCTCTTCGACCGGATGATCGAGCGAAAGATCCCGCCGACGAGCCCTACCTTCTTCTCGATCCTCACCTCGTGCAGCCGCGCCGGGCTCGTGGACAAGGGCCGCGAGTTCTTCCTGGCAATGGAGCTCCACCACGGCATAGCTCCAAAGATCGAGCACTACGGCTGCATGGTGGATCTCCTGGGGCGAGCGCGGCACCTGGGCGATGCGCTCGCGACGATCCGGGCGATGCCGCTGGAACCCAACGCGATGATCTGGACGACGCTGCTGGGCGCGTGCTCCAAGTGGAGGAACACCGAGATCGGGAGGGTGGCGTTCGAGGAGCTCGTCAAGATCGACGCTGGCGACGGCGCGGCGTACGCTCTCATGGCGAATGCGTACGCTGGCGCTGGAATGTGGGAGGAATCCATGGCGATCCAGGCCATGCGGAGGAGTGCGGGAGCTTTCAAGCAAGCTGGAGAAAGCTGGTGGATCGACGAGGGTGGTGGCGTGCACAGGTTTTGGGCCGGGGATTGCAGCCATCACCCGCAGGGCGAGATGATCGTGGCAAAGGTGGCGGAGTTTATGGCCAAGATTTGCGATCATGGCTTCGTCCCGGATTTGAGGTGTGCCTTGCGGGGCGAAGAGATGGCCGAGGGGGATAGGAGGGATGCCTTGTGTGGGCATAGTGAGAGGTTTGCTATGGCTTGCGCGCTCGTCAACTTGAAGGGTGATGAGGGTGCCATTCGGATTGCCAAGAACTTGAGGGTTTGCGAGGATTGTCACGCTGTGACTGCTTTAGTTTCGAGGGTTGAGAACAGGAGTGTGGTGTGCAGGGATTCGAGCAGGTTTCATGTGTTTGAAAATGGGAAATGCTCTTGTGGAGGGTTCTGGTGAACAAGAAGAAATTTTTACTATGTATATGGATGCTGGCTGAGGAACCGCTCAAGAATTGCAAGATCAATCAAGGGGATGCTGAGGACTTTTTAAGACATGCTTATCGATGCTGGGGTAAGCTTCCATTTTTTCTTTACAATGGAGGTTCTGTGTTTTGCATGCACAATGTATCTCTTTTGCCACATCGTGAGGATGTGGGTTTACGACAGACCTTGTCAAGATCCCACTGGAAGGAGGGCCCTTCACACTTCACTGATTCTTGACAATCCTCCTCCAGAGCTCCTTGCAGCTCTTACTCTTCCAGAGGAATGTTCTTGAGCAAAGTTATGTCTCTTATTTATTTCTTTAAAATTCAAGAAAATGCTTCTCTAATATGCTGCTACCGACCCTGGTGGAGATGAACTGCACAAAGGTGGGCCGGCACTAGGCTTAGCAATAGTTTGATATACGCGTTGCCTTTTGTTTTGTGACTCCCTACACACTGGATTTCGTCATCCTTGGAGAAATCAGTTTGACAAAGTCAGTGTTTTTCTGCGACTATATAAACGATCTTAGCCTTGAGATCAAACCAAGCATCTCATCCCAGTTCAAAAGCCAGCAAAATCAGGATAGCATTTCATCTCTCAAGAGCAACAAGGAGCTTCTCAAGAAAGAACAAGCAAGTCCTTACATCAATCAGCTAAATCTCCTGGTTTCTATCACCAAGAAAGCAAAGCAAAGCGAGTTTTCAAAGCAACATCATCGCCATGTCTAGTTCCCGTGCAATTCTCCTCGCGATCCTCGTCACCATCTCTGCTGCATTCTCACTCGCCGACCCGGACGCACTCCAAGACTTTTGCGTGCGCGACACCAGCGCCACTGCCCCCATCATCAACGGCTTCACCTGCAAGCCCGCTGCCGCCACCGCCGCTGCCGACTTCAAGTTCTCGGGCCTCCAGAAATCCGGGAACACCAACAACAAGCTTGGCTCCGCCGTCACCGCCGCAAACGTGATCTCCTTCCCGGGGCTCAACACCCTCGGAGTCTCCTTCGCAAGGGTCGACTACGCTCCATTCGGTCTCAATGCCCCTCACGTCCATCCCCGGGGCACTGAGATCCTCTACGTTCAGCAAGGGACTCTCTACGCGGGATTCGTGAGCACCACCAACAACACGCTCTTCGCGCAGACCTTGCATCAAGGTGATCTCTTCGTGTTCCCTCGGGGCCTTGTGCACTTCCAGCTCAATGTCGGCGAGACCCCTGCCGTGGCTCTCGCGGGATTCAACTCCCAGAACGCAGGTGTCACCGCAGTTGCCAAGGCCGTGTTTGCGTCCAATCCCGCCATCACCGATGCTGTGCTTGAGAAGGCGTTCCAGATCAATCCGGAGCTCGTCGACCGCCTCCGGGAGCTCATAATGACCACTTGAGAGAAAGAAGTGTGTTTATGATATTCTTTTTCCCCATTTGGATAAAACTAAATTTTGTTTCGAATATCTGGTTTTGTTAGCCACCTTTCCGCTAAAATTACAAAAAGATTCATGTAAACTACGCATTTTTAAATGATGCTCTGTTCTCCGACCGAATGTCCTATGCCCGTCCTATTCCTATGCGTGCATTTGCCGGAAGGGGCAGCGCAAGCCTCCATCGTAGTATGGTCCAAGTTTGCCTGATTTCAGCGCTCCCAGCTCCGCCAGCTTGTATCCCTTCTCGAATGCTGGTGGGCGATACACATTCACGTTGAGCTGCCGGTACTCTTCCGGATTGGCAGCGGGATTGGGACACCAGTCCACCTCAATGCTGCCCTTTGCATCCTCCACACGTCTGGGAGGCAAGAACGCGGACACGAAGCTCCCGGCCAGCAGCTTGAACGCACCCAAGATGATCCACTCCACAATTGCTGGAGGCCTTTCCAATCCAACAGCGCTCCTGATTGTGGGATCGATGAGTGCACAGATCCCAGTCTCGACCAGCGGCTGCACGGGGTGAGGAAATGCATCCAGCACCAGATGCTTGAGATCCTGGACGATGCTCTTGTTCTTGTCCGTGAAGATGGCGTTCTTGGCCTCGTAATCGCGAATGTACTCCCGCATCTCTGGAATGCTATCTGGGATGGTTGTGATGCCCATCCTCACGCCCACGTCGTGCCACACAACATACGCGGCCTCCTTCTCGCTGTCGGTCCACTTGCGGAATCCAAATCTCTCGGAGAAATCAATGGGGCTGACCACGTTGAGGCAGAGGACGTAGGCGAATTGGTCGTTTGGGATCTTGAATTTGTTGTGGATTCCATTCAATCTCCTCACCGCGTACGAGCCGCGATCGCTGTCGACGTGGTGGTGGATCATCTCGCTCACCAGAATGTTGGTCTCGGCGGCGCGCTTCTGCGGATCCTTGAGGCCGTACTTGGTCTTGAAGAGCAGATTTGTGATCCCCGGGATGCCCAGCGTGCGGATTGTGCCAAACTCGAGCGCCTTTTGCGAGAGGAAGGGGAATTCCACCGAGTACATGTACCACAGGATCTTGTGTGCGTCTCTCACGGGGTGGAGCGACGCCAGAAATCGTGCCCTCTCTTGTCTCTTGCGGATACACACCGTCTTCCGTGCTACAGCCATCACGAGAAACGCAATCATCAACACCATTGCAGCCATTTTGAAATGGCTGCGTTGTGAAGACTGTGTGATCGATCTGATCAAATTGATTGGAGAATGGCTGCTTTTGTTTTCTACTCCTCTGTGGGTTGAGGAAACAGAGGCTGGAGAAGGGTCTTTTATACTATCAGAGCCATCAGAGATCACATTTCACGTGTTTTATTTCCGTCTGACCCATATGGAAACAAAATACTGTTCTAAACATGAAGCGTTCAAGTTGGTGACAATTGTATGCAAAACGTGCACCATATCAAACAAAAGATTCTTCTCCAAGTATGTGGCTACGTGCAAGGATACTTAAGTAAGAATCCAAAAAGTAATGTGGATAGTCTTTGGATTTCCACGAAAGATGCACCTTTAATCCCACTGGCTTTTCTTCCGTGGCATAAAACCCTCGTCTGGCCTTCGCGGCTCCTCCTCTTCCTTCATCGCTTCGTACGCCTCCTCCACATCTACCGTACACGATTTGATCCACTTGCTGCAAATCAGGCACTTCATCTGGATGGTCACCATTTGCACCGTGCACTCCTCACACATGAGATGGTTGCACGGCAGCAGCACTTTTGTTCTCGGCCCCTCCCCCGCACACACTGCACTCGGGATCCAGCAACATATTTATCCTGTAGCTGGCAGGCACTGTACAGCGTACGATGAGCTGCCACCCTTCCGCCATAGTCGTCTCTCACGGCTTCCAGCACAAGCCCTCCCTGGCAACTGCCCGAATCTCCACAGGATGAGATCCAACAAGGAGCCCAAGTCGAAGAACCAGCTCCTTCCCAGGCCCAAGACCGTAAGCTTGTGATCTTGGGGTGATCTCGGCGAGATCTGGGAAGAGTGATTGTTGATGTGTAATGCTTGCTGCTAAAGGGAAGTTGTTTGAACTGCTATTGAAAATGTTCTCAAAGAGATCTGGTGGGAGGCCCAGAGGACACACTGTGATCGTAGCACCGTTGCACTAGGAACATGAGTGAATACTTAGAAACCTCTCTCTCGCATGTACCTTTTTCCTAGTCTTTTTCTTTTTTATTTAGCCTAAAATAAACAATAATAATATGGTAATATTTTTAATTATAAATGCACAGTTCAATCTTGATATTTTGATTGTCCATAGAAAAAATAGGAGTTGAACTTGTAAAACATAGGTAAGGCAACTCAGGCTAGTTTCCTTCATGCACTTGACCTAAGTGGTTCTTACTAATCCACTTCCTTTATATCGGTGTTTCTTTATGCAGGCAACAGAAAATAGAAACCACTGGTGTGACAAAACTTCAAGAAGTAATCACCATCATTCTCTGAAGTTTTACTCATCAAGATTTGGTTCTAGAGATAATTTGCTCAAGCTGGGCATGCTCCTCCATCCTCCCCACAGCAACATAGATATTCACCATGAGAACGTCAGCTCAAACGCCACCCTTCCAAACTCCACATGCTTCCATTTCACACACGCCGCCAGCACTGCCATCCAAATCCTTACGTTTGCTTCCACTGGCATGATCCTCAAAGCACCTACAGCCTCCTCGATTTGGTTTCCTCATCCCAGCAAATCCACCATGCAAGAGTAGTGCTCGATCCCAAGAGCTAAATCTTCATCGTCTCGAAGAGCTCCCTGCCTCGATCAACCAGTCTGGCAGTCGTGAGAACCGAGAGGAATGTCGCAGCATCGAGCTTGCACCGCTCATCTTGCATCCTCCCGAATGATTCAAACACCTTGGAGGTGTTTCTTTGATGGTGGTATGCTGCTATCAGTGCGTTCCAAGTTTCTGAGTCTCGCCTCCCCTTGAGAGTGGCAAACACTCGCTCGGCTTCCACCATGCTGCCACATTTGCAATATTACAAAACCAGTATAAAAGGCACATTCTCTACGATAGAAATCTCCACACACTCTCTGCGTCCTAGGTCCTGACCAAGCTTCGGCCAATTTTCCCTCTTCAAGCCCGAGTCATTGTTCTTGATCTTGTGTGGGACGTCCGGAGGGATTGGTTTCGCTGCTACCATCGCGGCCTTGATCTCTTGCTGCGAGCCTCCTTCCTTTCTCGCCATCATAGTTCCGTTTCTTTCTTTCTTCTGTCTTCATGATTGTTTTCTCTTATATTGCTTCGAGCTAAGTTTTCAGTCTTCTTCATCACTTGATTCTTCTCAAGCTTTTGGTTTTGGATAAGCAACAGGAAGGACTGATATCTTTCGATTCATACAGGCTCTAGGTTATCTGCACTCAAGGAACGGAACATGGAACAGTAGCCACGTGTGCAAGTTAGCCGGCCCGGCGTTCCATCGTAGCCGCTTGCGCCTTGGTCTCACTGCCGGCGCCGTGCTCTTCAGGTGAAAAAAGTACTTTTTTCTTCCTTTTTGAGGCTTATAGTCGCTTTGTGTTTTGATCTGGTCAAAGAAGATCTCGGGAGCGTCGAGCGGCACTAATGAAATCACTGAAGAGATAGCATTTGTTATTTGCCACATCAGCAAATATAGAACTCCACGTCAGCACTAAATCAGGAGCGCTTGTTCATCATGACTCAAAAGAGGAGCCTTTGTTTCTTACGGCGTTTTGTTTCATGGCAAGCATCATTGGGTTCCAAGATTCTACTCATTTACCAGGCCAGGCTTCCAGTGCGCAACCCACTTACTGTTGAGAATGCTTGCACACACATAAGAGTCTGGGTAATATTGATAGTATCAGTTCAATTCTCTTTTGCAATGCATAGATCACTGAATTGAATGCTAAAGCTCCAGATCAACAAGCCATAAATTAAAAACAATGATTGGAAAATGCTCATTTGTATATGATGTAAGTGATAAAATTTATTTGCATTTAATTTTATATCATCAAATATTCTCAAATTTTAAATGCTATATTAATTAAAAATATTCATTTAAGTATATTTGTTTTTCTAGTGAGAAAAAACAAATATAAGGAAATTATCACTTATAATTTATTCATAATATAGTTACACTCCTCATTAATATGGCCACAAACAAAATTTATAAAGTTTTTGATGATATAAGTAATTCATTGTGAACAAATTAAAATTTTATTTTGAAAATAACTATATAGTTAAACTAATTTTATCTATTTATAATTATAAATTTAATTTAAATTTTTAACTATTATGTTAGCCAAAGAGTGAGGTGATTAACATATCATATCATTCTTGATTTGAAAAATTAGAGAGCTCCATTAATTAAATTTCTTATGCAAACTTGATAAATTGAAGAGTTTTACTAAGTAATTTCTTTTATGCAATATTCTCACAGAAAAATATGTATAAATTGCATATATAAATTATTTTCTATTATAATTTATTTTAATTTTCAAATCAATAGAATTTTTAATGAAATTTGTTTACTGGGGACACAGTAAACATTTAAATATGGTGAGGACCTAGTATATTTTATTTTACGAAACGTTTACTTTAGAGTCGGCTGGAAAGCTGAGGAGAAATCTTAACACAATGCGTGAGAGAGGGAAAACGAGAAAGGAGAACTTGCCTGTTGCGAAACGCACGTCGACCGGTTGGCAAAGCTCTACACAATCTCGACTATAAGTTTCACGTACACAAAAAGCTCAAATCCATCATTGGCTTCTCTCTCCACTCTGCTTTCAATCGCTTTGCAGCAGCAGCAGCAACAATGTCCCCTGTAATCAAGAACATCGTAGCGCTCATGCTCGTGGCTGCCATCGCCTCCTCCGCCACCTTCGTGCTTGGAGCCGACGAGGACCCACTCCAGGACTTCTGCGTCCGCGACCGCAGCCAGGCCCCCAACGCGGACTACGCCTGCAAGCCCAGCGAGCGCGTCGCCGCCTCCGACTTCAAGTACTCGGGCCTGCGCGCCCGTGGCAACACCGCCAACAAGCTCGGCTTCGCCGCCACCATCGCCAACGCCGCCTCCTTCGCGGGCCTCAACGCCCAGGGCCTCTCGCTCTCGCGCCTGGATTTCGCCCCGGACGGCGTGAATCCCCCGCACATCCACCCCCGCGCCAGCGAGCTCATCCTCGTCGTGCAGGGCTCCCTGTATGTTGGATTCGTGAGCACTGACAATCGCGTGTTTGCCCAGGTGCTGTATCCCGGGGAGATCTTCATCTTTCCCAGGGGTCTCGTCCACTTCCTGCGCAATGTTGGGCGGACCCCTGCGATCGCCTACTCGGCGCTTAACAGCCAGAACCCGGGGACTTCCCAGGTTGCAAAGGCGGTGTTTGCGTCCATTCCTCTTGTGGATGATCGCGTCGTCGCGAAGGCGTTCCAGATCTACAGCGCGCAGCAGCTCAAGAACATGAGAGAGCTCATCAGGAGAACTTGATTGATTCAAAGAGTATGTGATTGAGAGTGTCTTGAGTTTGTCGATCGACTCCCAAGTTTCCATGAAAATAATAAAAAGTTGACAACCCCCATTTTCACTAAACAAAATAGAACATGAGAAAGAAGAAGACTTGAGTGATCCAAAGATTGAGGGTAATCAAAATCCATGAAAATAAATATCTCATCGTGTAGGAATAAAAATATTCCTTGCTCATGACCAAGAGGACTTGGTTGATCCAAGATTGAGGGTATATTGATCAAAATCGTAATAAAAATATGATTATCTCAGTTGTGCTTTTTTTATTCCTTCGGTCTCCCTTTCCGCGTTTCCAAAAATATGCGGGGCATATTCGTTAGGGTTTTGATTCATTGATCTCTTTCTCTCTCTGTGGGTGTCGCGCTGCGCTGTTGTGGGCGGCCGAGCACAGCGACGCGCGCGCGGCATTTGGAGAGCTCCCTGTACAGCGCGCCGACCGTTCTACTCATCGAGGAATCGCATCGGCAAGATCCGTGCCGCGGATTACCAGATGATCCAAGCTCGATTCGTCTGGGAGCTCTAGCAATGCTATAGCTGGGGGGTGGATAGGCCAGCGACGAGCGGAGGGCTTTGGGGCGCTCCAGTTATGCCGCCCTACATTGCTCGGGAGGCATACAAGGTGAGTTATCGATTGGTTTCTTTGTATCCACAGTTGTTTGACTTTGTTGGGGGTAATCAAGCTATGGAAGAGGATCGTGATGGAGTTGATGCTGGAGCTCAAGATTTTGTCCGAGAAATGGAAGCTCCTGCTGCTAGCTATCATCTTCCAGGTAGAACAAATTTGGTTCCTTCTGCCTTTCTCATGCTCTCTTGCTTCTTTTGCTTCGTTCTCTGGGCAGTATGTACATGGTATTGCTGCTAAAGTCGCTCACTACCTCCATCAACCTGGTCGAATCCTTCCGGATATTGGCTTTCGATTTCTCCCTGTAAGGCTTGGACAAATTCTTTTCTCCTCGTCTAGAGATTGACCTTTCCAGCATCCAGGAGCTAGGACGCGAAAGGGCATACATCAGCGAGACCTTGTTCACCTTTGTGTTTGTTACATTTTTCCTGGTACGATCTAGAAGTTCTCTTTCCAGCGCTGAATCGGTCGTTACTGCAGTGGACTTTTCATCCATTTGTGTTCCACAACAAGCGATTTTATACAGTCTTGGTGTGGTACCGAGTTCTTGCTACTTTAGTCGTGAGTCTCTTTCCTTCCCAATCTTTTTCGTTCGTATGCTTTGTCACTCAACACTTGCCATCCACAGGTTGCTCAGTGCCTCCGAATCATGTCATTTCTTTCCACGTCGCTTCCAGGACCAAACTACCACTGTCACGAGGTATATCCTCCTTTAAAAATCGAAAGTGAAGTGCTTCTAACTCGTTTCTTTCCAGGGATCCCCGTCAGCAACATTGGCGCCTCCAAAAAGTATCTCGGAAGTCGTGTTTCTCAACTGTGAGTAAAAAATCTCTCGTCCTGTCGAGGCTTAATCAGATTGTAACCTGCAGTTCCGTATGGCGTAATCTTTGGCTGCGGGGACTTGATCTTCTCCTCGCACATGATATTTACTCTTGTTTTCATCTGGACATACCAGAAATACGGGACAAAGAGGCAAGTATTTTTCTTTTTTCTCTTTTCGTTTCTCGTGCTGCATGTGAGACCATCGTGGCTTTTCTGGATCCAGGTGGATAAAGCGGCTTGCTTGGCTCGTCAGCGTTGTTTTGAGCCTCCTTATTATTGCCTCGAGAAAGCACTACACTGTCGATGTTGTGGTGGCCTGGTCAGCGTTTTCTCTTCTCTTGTTTTGATTGCCAGAGCTCTAACTTTTGTGGATTTTTAATTTTTGTTCTCTCCAGGTATACCGTTGCCCTTGTATTTTACTTTGTGGACAGGCAGCTCTCGGATTCCGGTGAGAGGATATATTTGTTTATAACTGCCTTCTCTGGCTCATGCACGACGCTTGCAGATATCTCGGAGCGTTCCTCTGGTCCTTTGCTGCCATTGAGGGGAAAAGATAGCAGAAGCAAGGAGGAGATGCACAAGCTCATGAACGGGGTTTCTACAGGAGATGCTACTGACTGGGTACGTTTTTCTTTCCTATCCGTTTCGGTGGTCTTCAAGTAGTAGTAGTAGTACACGAGTTAAAGAAGCGGAAAGGCCAAGACGACAAGCATGCTAACCTCGAGTGGTTTTTCCAGGAGATTGAGTTTAGTCTCGAGAGATTTTGTCAGTAGAGGTGTCGTAGAGAGTCGTGGCTGCTGGTGGCTCTTATCTCGAAGTCTAGTGTTGGGGGTACGTGAGAGCATCACTAACGAGAAAGGATTCTAAAGGATCTGTCGCGTGTTTCATATGATCTGGCTAACGCAGTCTAAAATTTTCTTTGTTTTCTTACAGAGGCAACGGACACAGGACACTTCTGTTGACTCGCTCGCAAATGGAAACGCAGTTTGAGACGATGAGAGCGGTGGGTGGCACACTCGTCTTCTCGTTCGCCTCGTGGTATAGTCCGTGGAATTTGTAGATTCAGCGTTCTCTTTCCTCTTCCGGGTTTCTCAGATCTGTAAGGCTCTGAGAATGTAGCTTGCGAGTTAGTCGGAGATGGACTCGGGCCAGATTGTGAGTGCCATCAATTTTGTTTAAAGCTTTCTCTTCAATCAAAACCAAGTGTAACAAGGTAAAAGTCAAATGAGAGCCCTAAAAGTCAAATGAGAGCCTTTAAAGGGTTTCACTTTCTAGGGTTTTTTTTGTCATGGCGGATCCGCTAATTGACTTGTGGAATTTGCCATTGAGCAATGATGAGAAGTGCCAGCTCTCTGTGAAGCTGGGTATGCTGCGGCTAGAAGGAAAGGATCCCTCAGTACTTTTCCTCGCGCCCACACCGGAGGACAAAGCGGACGTGCTCAGGAGCTTTCTCAAAGGTACAGTCTTCGGCTGTTGAGGCTACTGACGCATTTTCTTTCAGAGTCGGCCCCTCGAATTGCTAACGAGAATTCCTTGGATCTCACCTACAAGACTGTCAGCGAATATTGCACGCCAGTAGTACCCGAGCTTCAAGGCTTGGCAGGGTTTCTCCTCAAGAGGCCCGACGGGCTTACGATCCGCGTGAGTTCCAGGACATACAACCGGGTTCGAGACTACGATGTGCAGGGCCTCTTCGAGCCTTCGGATGGTGATCGCTGTTTGGGGCTTGAGGAGCATCTCTCCGGCTGTATACTTCCACCACCAGAAACAGGTTTGACGTCGCTGTATTATGTCATACTGATGGTATCTTCGTTGCAGGTGTTTCCGAGCTCTCATTTATTCAGGCATGGGATAACTTGATCAACACTCCCCTGAGAGTGTTCATGAATGTGGCCTTCAGTAAGGACCGTAATACAAATACTGGAATGGACAATTTACTTCCCGACGTCGTGGGATATGTTGGTGCTCGTTTTTCGCTTTGGATTGCCGAAGAGGAACCGGGAGGAACTGGCAATCTTCTTAAAGAGCTGGTTTCCAAGCGGAACTGGTGTTACAAGGCAATTCCTTACATTCTCGGTTACTATGCGAGCGGTCTTGCGGTGACGTTGGTCGCGCTTTATTATGAAGGGGGGAGGGTTAAGAGCAGGCACCTGGCAACGTTCAATTTGTACGAAATTGGTGACAGGGTCAAACTCTTCATGGTTATGTCCAACGTTGGTCGGGTACTGGGAGGTTTGCACGATATGTGCATTATAAACAACGAGAATACGGAATTTGAAGTTGTGAAAGGTATAACGACCGGGAAATCTGTGAGGCTAGCTGGAGATCAGGTGATCAAAGGCTACCTGACGAAGGGGAAGAGGATGAAAGTTTGGAAAATATATTACGCTCTCAAGGGCTGCCCCAACATGGAGACTTGCTTGAGCAGGAAGCCGCGACATGAGAATGGCCCTTTTAAAAGGAGGATCGGCGAGTATATGCTTAGCTTTTCTCCTCGTCTAAACAGAACAGCTCGGCCTTCAACGCAGGAATCACTTGTGAGAGCTCTTCTTGATGTCTCTGAAGCTCTGGCCTGGCTCAAGGAAAAGAGGTGGATCCACAGGGACGTCCATTGGGGCAACGTGGCCTTGGACGAAGTAGCTGGGGTGTGGACGCTGATAGATGTGGAGGAGGCGTGCACGTTTGAAGAGGCTACAACGGCACATCCGTTAAATTCACGGGTGCATGCGCCAGAAATGCTTACAGGTTACCATGGTTCTCCTGTGGACGTCTGGGGCCTGGGTCATCTTATCAGGAGTGCCAGCAATGTTCCTGCTCTTAATAAGATGGTGGATGACGTCCTGTGGGAGTTGTCGAAAAAATGTTCGGCGGTGGATCCCTCAGATCGGCCTAGTATAGCAGAGTGTAGAGTTGAGCTTGAGAGTTGCCGGACGCTTTTAAGCGAGGATTCCATGGATTGTGGTACCGTAGAAATATCCAGATCGGATCCACAAGCTAACGTGGAGACCATGTGAATATTTATATAGAGAAGCAATGGGGCGAGAGCAAGCAGATCTCAATCACTCACGAGCCATTCTCCAGTGAGTGAACAATCGATTGCAGAAGAAGACACAAGAAAAACGATGTCGGGCAATCGAACACTTTATTGTCTAGCAAGTTTGGCCAGTGGTTGAGACCCTTGCAGGAATGATGACAAGCAAAGCCCTTCTGATCCTGGTGTTTAGTGGCACTGATTTTGAAAACTGGGCAAAAGAGATTTCGTTCATGGACAATTGCCTTCAAATTGTCCAGGGGACAGAGCTCAAATCAGCAGCCTCTGATGAAAAAGGGTGGTAGGTGAGGAATGGTGTCATTGGACTTGGTCACATTTTGACCTCACAAAGATAGCTGCTGAAACCTTGAGGACCACATTTGGTAATCAAGCCCAAGAAAGTAGAGTTGAAGTCCAAGTTTTTTGAGCTTAGGATGGGATCTGATGGGTCCCCAGCGACATTTCTAGGATGAAGTCTATTATGTCTCAACTCACCAGTTTAGGTGAGGTCGTAAAAGAAGCAGACAACAAGGCAGTTCTACTGAATGCTTTGGCTGCACAACCAGAACAAGGGACATTGAGATACGTTTTAAACAAAGAAATTTGTGCATCACTGCTGAATGATAAGGCACAGAAGAATCCACCAAACAAGAAAATCCAGGAGCTGCACTCTTTGTAGCTGGCTCAAATTTGAGGTCAGGGAGGAGTTCCTCAGGTCGATGAGATAGCAGTCCAGCCACATGGAGTTTCCAGAAAGCTCATGGCAGTGACAACACTGATGGCATGATTCCCCAAGTAAGAAGGGTGTGTCTGAAAGTGGACAGGATATTATGCAAGATATTGCAAAGACAAAGCTGCACGCAAGACAAGAGGATTAGGCAAAAAGAATGCTAACAAAAATCCATTTGATTAAGAAAAGTGCCTTAGTTTTTTGTGATGTAATTGCATTGTTTTCATTAAAGGCTATTTCAGTAAGTGATGCAATTTGGCATTTGTTTTCGAAACTTCTTTGGAGCATATTAAATTGGGAATATTGTGGCTAACACTTCATTAAAATCCTGTAAAATTTGCACATATATTTACTTCAACCACCCTTAATGATGCTTTTCACTTGGCATAACCTTATGAGATATTGTTTATTCCACTTTTCATTGCATATCTTTTAATTCCACTTCTTGTAAAAGATGGTTTTGTTCTAATGCAAGTTGATGTAACTATTGCTTAAATTCAAGGACAAAGGCAAGGATGTGGTTGTGGCCATGATGTCTGTTGTTAAGCATGTAATGAAGTTAATCACATTTATTAATGTTATCAGTGTTTTCAAAATTGGCAACCTTTATTTCTTAGGTGAAGACTTTAGCATCAACAATGTATTATTAGTGCTGCTACAGTAGAAAGTCTAGACACTAAGATGCTTCTAGGAAATAAAGAATTGCACGAGTAGCAAAGGGTCTTACCTCTCCATCTTTCTTTTAGAAGTATCATCAAGGGGTTCACTTAGCACCAATTTATCCAATTTTTATTTTCCAAACTTATTTTTATAACAAGAAGTCTTTTATTATTTTTTTTGTATTGGTTGATATATGCTCAAATTTATCCTCTATTGCTTGGTCTGTTGCCACATGTTGCTATCTATATTTGTGTCATGCAACAGAGTTAATTTTCATTTTTTATGGAAAGAACTATGTGTATGGGATGAGACGGATTTAATTGTGTGTATAGGTGATCTCAAGCTTGAGTTGTAGTTGTTATGGGTGGTGCCAAGTCAAGCTTTTGACTTCATCCTTGGTATGGATTGATTGCAATGTAATTATGCTATATGTAACTTTAAGTTTCTCCCATTTGTCTTATACTTCTTTATATTTCTTCTATTCCTCTTCATCCCTCTACTTCTGTTTTTGCTTCCATTATTTTTGTCTTCCCATTACTTTCTTTTTATATTTTTGCGTTGTTCCTTTATTCCCTCCAATCCTTCTGACAATCTTTGTGTTGTAGGAGTGTGAGACACAAAATCCCTAGGCCCTAAAGTGGAGCTGGAAAGGGTGCCACGTGGTAGTGGCCGAAGCGAAAGCCAAACGAGCGTAACACGTTTAGACTAAAAGCTCCGACTTGGAAGGTCAAAAGCAGGAGTGGAACTCCCAACAAAGTGCTCGAGGAACAAGCACGAAGTGAGCAATAAGTGAGACTCCAAAAAGGGACCCAAAAGGACCAACACATGATACGTGGAAGTGTCCGAGATGGAGTCCAAGATGGACCCGAGTTGGAGTCCGAGATGGAGTCCGAGGTGGAGTCTGAGGTGGAGTCCGAGGTGGAGTCCGAGATGGAGTTCGAGATGGACCGAGACGGAGTCCGAGATGGAGTCCGAAGTGGAGTCTGAGATGGAGTCCAAGATGGACCGAGACGGAGTCCGAGATGGAGTCTGAGATGGACCGAGACGGAGTCCGAGATGGAGTCCAAGATGGACCCGAGACGGAGTCCGAAGACGGAGTCCGAGATGGACCCGAGATGGAGTCCGAGATGGAGTCTG